TGCAGAAATGTTGATGGCTCTGGTAGGTTTAGCTATAGATAAATGGTTTGTATATCTAAAATCCTAGTCTCAATACTAATACTGTATATAATATGTATATGTTTACAGCACCACCATATGTTAATTCACTTAAGTATTAATAAAAGTTTGGGGTGGATGCTACACCCAAGGTATTTCTCTAAATATTAAAAAAAAAATAAAATCATAAATCAATTTTTTATCAGTTTTGACAAGTTATTAATTTTGACAGTATTGGTTTTGAAAATAGATTTAGGCCGCATATAAGTTTTTAAATATATCTAGAAATAGGCTCTTGGTTATATGTCTGAGTTCTTACTCTAGTACTAGGCTTAAAATACAAAATCTTTTATATAAAAAGTTTTTATTAAATTTAATAAAGATAAAAGCGTGGTCTCATTTTAAAAGTATATTATTTAGAATTGTCAGGCTGCAAAGTTGACTATATTAACGTCTTTTGATTGGTTGGAGAGTTAACTGATAGTCTACTATATATCAGTTAATTAAAAAGCCCTGCTCCCTCCATTTTGGTAAAATCCTTGACTGTATAAATTCAAAAGAACTTTTACACTCCCAACAAAACACGAAAGAAGAGGGATTTAAAGATAAAAACTTAGTTTTTATGGATCCATTATCGAAACCGAATTTACCATCGTCTAATCAAATGTCTCAACGTCTTCGATCGCCCAAAGATTTCGTCACGCGTGTTTTAAGTCCAAGAATAGCCGTGTTGTCTTCTCCAGATGCGGATCAAGTGTGTCAGGCGAGCAATTTCTCGGATTTCCTCACATTGATAAAGCCTTTTGGTGAGCGCATTGAAGGAAAAGGTTCGTAGCATAACAGTAGTCCAATGTCAAAGAAGCATATTGTAGGTACAAAGCTTACTCCTCTTTTTCTTTTTATACAAAAAAAATATATATTCACTGAAAATCCAATTGCATTGCTATTTCGTGTTTTTTTTTTTTTTTTTCTTTTTATTAAATTTATAAATTTATACAGTATTCACTAAAGATTCTCAAGGTGCTCCGAACCCTATAGAAAATTTCACAGTTCGATTTGCTAATTTAACAAGGCTGGAGCAACCTGACATTCAACTTACTTCTCAAATACTGGCGAATAGAGTTAAATTTATCAATAATTCTCTCGCAAAGGATGGATTAACTTCAATAAAAACAAATTTTGACGTAACTGAGAGGTATTTAGAAGGTATTTGCGTTTTTTATCGTTTGAATCATTTATAAATGAAGTCTTTGTATTGTCTCACTTATACTTTTTACAGTAAATCAAGACGAATTAACTCCATGGTATGCAGAATATAGGAGATGGTTCTTCGGATTTACTGGTGTTTCTGAACATGAAACTTTTGAACATCCTGTAGCTTGTATCCTTTGAACTTGTTTCCTTTATTATACTAATCCCAATTTAAATATTAGAGCCATAACTTATTGACATTTCAGGTATTCTCGCCACAAGTTCGTCAAATGCGAATCCTATAGACACTCTTCGTCAGATGTATAATATCACCGCCCCTGCCCCTATATTTGAAAAAGGGTTTATGGACCCAAATATTTTGAAATGTTACGTTCTTTTGCATGACAATCATAAAGTTAGCATGGAACAGTGAGTAAATCGTAATTATTTTGGAAGTCATATCTTTATATTATTACATTTACAATAATTTCATTAATTGAATTATACCATAACTAGCTCTGAGGCGATCTACGACGAGATTAAACGTACATTTAAACAGGACTGCTACTTTTTAAAACTAAATTCTATTCCCCCTGCATCACTTTCAGAAGATCATGATCCTTTTTCTATCCCTGCCTCTCCATCAACGATTCGCAGTGCTGAAAAAGATATCTGGTCATCCTATGTTTTGGAGTCTAATGTTCTTGATGCATTGTTTGCAGCTACACCTCCGACTCTGTCCACTTCATCAGAGTCTCATTCACGCCAAAGTTCTTTAACATCACTTTCCAGTTATTCTCATCCGCTTTCTCCTACCATTTCAGCTCTAAATTCACCAACATCATCATTCACTGAAGACTCGACATTTAAAAGAGAAAATTCCGATTCGCAAAGTGCACTTGATCTGGGTCTAATTGGCAATTTGTCACCTCCTGATGTCTTGTATGGGCAATATCTCAATGAAGATGATATTTCTGGTATTCATACTTTTATACGAGATTTGATAGATAAAAGTATTATTCCATACATGGAAAAAAATATTTGGCAATGGAATGAACAGGTTTTTTTTTTATTTAAATATAAATATAGTATATCAATAAATGGAATTACGTCGTGAATTGCATTGATGATCGTTGGCTTTTAGGTCGCATCATCAAGACGTGGGATTACTGGTCGTCTTTTTAGTGCGGGTAGGCGTTATTTTAATACTGGTACAAAGACTACGGGATCTGCTCAACAGTCCTCTCAATATTCTTATACTGGAAATTCTTCAAATGCGGCGAGTACTATGTGAGTTGATACCAAAATGTTTTATGAACGTTCTATTATACATTGGTACGATTAATTTAGCATTTTTAATCTTAGATATCTGTACAATACTCCAGAAGCACAAATGCGTAAACTAGCTGATTATGCCTTTATGTTAAGAGACTACCGTCTCGCACATTCAGTTTATGATACCGTCAAAAAAGATTTTTTAGCTGATAAAGCATGGAAATATTACGCTGGTGCACAAGTTAATATTTATATTTCTTATTCATTAATCGTTAAATATCATTGACCGACAGTAATACATTCTTCTTTTTCTTCTTTACATAAAGGAAATGATCGGAATTTGTTTATTGATTGCTGGAAATAAACCAGATATCGATCATTATTTTGAACAGGCGGTTAATGCTTATCTTAATCGTTCTAAGGTTCCGTTTTACGGAACTAGGACGACATTATTATATTATGAGTTGTTAAAGTACAAAAAGTTGTACAAAGATGCACCAAATGCATTGGTGCGGATGACTGGGGAGGTAAGAAGTTGACCTGTATGTTATTGATACCTTTTAACAAACTTGATATCTTACAAACAGACATATATTCTGTAGGACTCCGACTTGAGAAGCGCATTATTCTTAGAGCAGGCCGCTCATGCTTTTTTGAGATGTTCTAAGCCTATGGTCAGGAAATATGCTTTTCATTTGATGTTAGCCGGTCATAGATATGGAAAATGCAGTCAGGTAAAAAATTCAATAAATAAACAAATAAATAAAAATATTGTATGAGTTTTCATTAAATTATTCGAAGATCGCTTATGTTTTTAATCTATCCGAAGAGAGAACATTCACATAGATGTTACCTTGATGCCATGCACGTTTTTGAGAATCACTCATGGACTTTGATTGAGGATCACATTTATTTTGCTCTTGGTCGACAATCTGTCCATTTAGGTGATCTTTCAGCTGCTCTCGAGTTCTTTATAAAATTGTTAAGGGCGAGTCGTCAGCCGCCAACACAACAAAACGCTTATTTGAGAGACTTTATGCATGTTTATAAGGTAAATACTTTTGATTTCGTGTTGATAATAAATAGAATCTAATAATAATGCTAACTTACTGCTATCCGATTGCATTCCCTTAAGCAATATGCAAGTAAAACTGGAAAATATCCTTATTTTGATCAAGAACTTCCAATTCCAGTAATCGATGATTCATCTATTAGAGTTATTCTTTCTAATTCGCAGTCTAGTGAATATGATGACGTTTGGGACGTAATGGAACGAGAATTTTTGGAAGAAGGATTTACAGGATTAGATATTCATGGAAAACCACGGAAAAGGCCATACGCTTTAAATGGCGATATTCACCGAATCGTATGTGCAGTTGGAGGTACGTGCAATTGTATGTACTATTTTATTATAATATATCTTATTTCATTCATACTTTTTTTTTTTTTTGATAATTTTAGAACCATTCTTCGTTCAATTGACTCTTCACAATCCAATGCAAGTCGCATTTAATATAAATGATTTGATTCTTGAATGTGAATATATTCCGCTTCCGGATTCTAGTGAGAACTCTACAGAGCCAGAAAAGGATCTAGATAATGAAAATACTATACCATGCAATGAAATTATTGACAATAAAGAATCTCAATTGATGAAATTCGAAGATTTTGACTTGGAAACACTTCGTGAAGTGTCACTTGAAGGGCTAGAAAAAAAAATGGTACAAACCTAATATTTATATTTTCAAATAGTATTATAATTAGATTAAATTAAAATCTCAATGTTTACATGAAGTTATTAATGAATTAATATAGATTTCTCTATGCGTATTGCCGAAAAAACAAGGTTCAATCAAAATTTTGGGTCTTAGGTATACTCTTAACTCAATTGTTCACGGAGTAAAGAAATTTACTAAACGTGGCAAGCGTCTCAATGATACTACGGAGCAACGAACGAGTATTGTCTATGCTCCTGATCGATCATTAGATCTTTTGGTTACATCACCAATGCCATTACTTGAGGCAACATTCCATTCTTTCCCCGATGTTCTGCTTTCTGGAGAAGTAAAACAAATTCTTTTAGAAATCAACAATAAAGGACAGAAAGGACTTACGGATTTACGTGTGAAAATGAGCCATCCGAGTTTTTTTTGCATTGGTGATGCAGAGATGATAGATCAAAAAGTGTATTGTAAGTTTGTTAGGCTAGGATTGTTAAATAAATAAAGTATATCAACGAATACTAACTCATGAATGGTGGTGTTCCAGACACTTCCACTAGAGAATCGAAATTGAACACTGAAATTTGGACAACAAAAAATTCTATATTTAAGTCTAGCATAAAGACTATACCGTTACCGTCGCAAGAGGTTAACAATGTTGGTTCTCTGGCTCCTGGTAAAACAACCTTAATTCCAATTTGGATTAGAGGAGATCGTATAGGAAAACATGCGTTTAGGTTTTTGTTTACTTATGAATCAGAGGTATCTATCTTTTAAATCTTATTAGTAACGTTTAAGAATTTCATAACTTAATAACCGTTATAATATCTATTATATAGAATAACAATTCAGCTATGAGATATAGGTGTCTCCGTTATCTTAAAACAATACAAGTGTATCCTTCTCTCAAGATAAATGCGTTCACTAGACCAAGTATTCGAGAATTAAATGAATTCATTTTGGGGATTGAGGTAGGCTATTCTTATTGCTGTTAATTTAATTACTATTAATTCATAATCTTTTTTATTTTATTTTATTTTTCACATCGCTTATAGATCGAAAACTTACAAACTACTAGTGAATATCAATTTCAGCTAGCCCAACTTTCTTCGATCAGTCCATCTTGGACAATATCTCTTGCGAATGAAGGCGTTGAGTAAGTTGTTTAAGAAATTTGCATTATCTTTTAGTTGAAAATTGCTAAATACATATATTATAATAGGGACATTAGCCAGAAATTTTTAATAGCTCCACGGCAGACTGTGTTTACTTATTATCGGATTAGAAAAAACGAAAAATACTCTAAACCAGTGTCTCTTAACAATGTTGATTCACCTAATACAATGGTTACGCCGGAGGTGTTCGCGTCCAAAGCTTTGGAACTATTGTTAAGTGGACAAAAGGATTTAAAGTCAGAGCCGTCTCCTATTGATCTTATTGTAACGAATGTTCCCTTTGTAAGCTATATTTATTAACTTTGAAAATATATTACACATTCAAAATTTACAAGTCATTGGATCTTTTTTTTTTTTTCAGACAGATAGTATTATAACGAATTCTACAAACCCACTTGAGGGGTTTTCATTGAATTCACGCGTTCAATGGCGAACCAATACTTTAATTAATAATTTCCCTGCTATTCCTGCATCCAAACACT